CCACAACTTCTTATCCAATTACTACCACCAGCACATACACTGAAAGTAAATCTTCTACCCAAGAGTTATGAACATTTTTTTTAATGATTTGTAAATATTTCAGTCTAAATGAACAAAATGACAGAGCAATTTTTACTAATGACCATACTATAACATGAAATAGTTTCATAATATTTTATCTTGTTGAACCAGAAAAATAAGCATATTTTATATTTTGCAAATAGAAAACAGTTGTGATAATACTAAATATACCTGTTAATTTAATCATTACAGATGCATATAATTCATATCAGCACACTGCATGAGCTTTAATTCTAATCAAATTGTATACATGCATAATGACACATCCTCAGGAGGATACTAGCAATAATGCTCTTCCTTTGCTTCCAGATGAAGCCAGGTACCATGATAATTGCTTAGAGCAATTTCGTAGCTATGGCATAACTTAACCTTCAATTTGATTCGATGCAAGAATATTATTTTAAATCACTCATAATTAAAGTCTGACCCATACAGAATTATCATATGGTATGAGGGTTTTTCACCATATAATTAAAGAGATTAAAATGGCTCTCAAGCAATTTCAATGCAATATGTAAAAAATTGGGAATGAAGAGAATCAGTAATTTTCATAGTTTTATAACTGCAAGCTAAGACAGTAATTGAAAGACGGTATATGTTATTTCTCAATAGTTCAATAGAAGTCATTATAAAAATGTTATCCAATAATTAGATAAGAAAAAAAAAAGATACAAATCTTCATACTAGAGTATTAATTTCAGAACTTTAAATTTTACATCATCTAAGCCCTAATTACATAATTTGCATTCAGTTTGTAAACCTACTAGACTCTTCATATTCAAACAAAATATCCTTCAGAGAAATCTAAAGAAAACAGTCTTGCTGTAAAAGATTTTATGTTCCTACCCATAAGTAAAAGAAAAAAAATCAAGTGTCCCATAATATAAAATTGTGTGGTTGATGTAAAGATTCCTTGTCCCATCTTTGTACAATATTAAGGAAATTTTAGAAATGTCTGATATTTACTCAGTTCTGCTTATTCATATATATATATATATATATATATATATATGTATGCAATTTAAAAAAAAAAAGTGTTAATTTTACTCTGTTGAAAATTATGCCTGATATAAATGAACATTTGACACAATTTACTCTTCCTGATTAATTTGGAGAAAAGTGTATTGGAAGTTAGACAACTTCTAAAATTTATGGCAATGATTCAGCAAGTACAATAAAATGCCAGAATTTGTTTATAAAGTATAAAAAAAGCATGTTTGAGCTAAAAAAAAAAAAAAAAAAAAATCTGTGAGACTTCATAACATTTAAAATTGATAAATTGGAAAAAAACTTTTGAAAGATACAGCAGAAAAATTAGAAACATATTATTTAACTTCTTTGAATTAAAACAGAAAATGCCTTCTTTCTGGGCAATTATGTATACTGGCATATCTGCTGCATGCATGACAATGTCCATCCTCATATTGTAAACAATCAGGGAGCTGGAATAGGAAGTTCTTCTGCATGCAGTATATAATCTAATCTGTCTGCTTGTTTTATTCTACGCCACATCCCTTGTCTTCTCAGCAGTTTCAACAAGGAAAAAATACCTAATAATTCAATGAATCAAAACTATAATCATTATAAGAAAACATAGAATTTATGAAAGGTTACATAAGGTCATTTTGATAACAGAATGATGTTACAAATTTATATGAATAAAAAAGAAAAGCTGACCTACTTCTTCATCAACATACCACAATATAAAGTTCCTTTTACATATAGGATTGTGCTGAAAAGTTAACCATTGAGATCTAAGATATTTTTTCAAGTTTTCAATTTATATAAGCCCATCACTGAATTGATTAATTTAATTGGAAGAATTGGCAAAAATAACAAAAAAGTAATCCAAATATATTTCAACTTTACATACTGGTATTGAACAATTAACACATTAGTTCTTCATTTTCCTTTCTTATTATTAATTTCTTTTAAAGTACGCAAGTATATGTGCTAAAATATTAAAATTTAAATTTTATAGTTTTATTTTTTAATAGCAGTATAAAAACTTAAAATTAGCAAAACTTTCTAAATAAAAAAAAATACAACTTCACAATTAAAATCAATATTATGTTTCAAAAGATAGTAATTTATAAATGTGTCTTTTTACAGACTTTAAGGTATAGGAATCTGGACTAAAGTAAATAACAATGTTCTTCTAGATAAGAAATAGACACTCAATGCATTCAAGCCCAATTGGAAATGTAGTTTTGTGAATATTATTTGAATGTATTAGAGATATTATACATTTTCATAAAGCACATAAAATATTGAAATGTATAAGCTTATAAAGAACCTAAATCTGAAAATTTTCAGATCAATTTGAACAGATTTAAGTTAACAGATAGAAACATTTAGGTTAAAAAGTGTTAACTGTTGGATGACATTACCCACTTGAGTTTAAATTGTCAGAAGCAAGAAAAAGTATGATAAATTACATTATCTTTAAAATTATTCTCTGTTCATGAGACAAAGCTAATACAACATTAGAAAAAAAACTCGATATGCCTTAAGGCTTCAAGTGACGGCGAGAGTTTTTAAGTGGGCATGCAATTATGCAAGCAAAGTAGTCATTTTGCAAGTTTTAATTACTAGTATTAAAGATTACATTTTTACATTTTAAATGAAACTGTAACTAAATCTTGAAAGATATTTGTACCTAATCACAAGATATTTTTCTAGTATTATTACAAATCTAGATTTTACTTGAAAATTTAAAAACTGACAAATTAACAAATCAGCAAATTACTTGTACTTTAGTTAAATTTTAAATCAGTTTGGTTTGGTACATGGTTGATGATAATAATATAATAATAAAATACTTGTTATACGAAATGGAAACATTACAGAGGAATAATCAATTAAAATGGGAAGATACAAACTAGAGCAAATCAAACTTTTATCTAATTCTGATAATATATTTATTGAGCAGTTTTAAACTTTTTCATTGTACTGCTTAAAGAAGGATACGGATAGAGAGAGTAATAAAATTTATTTGCGTACGATGGGGAAATGTTTGATAATTTGTTCATAAGAAAAAAGTAATTAAAAGTGTGGTAACCAAAAAATAAAAATGAAAACAAAAAAACTTTGAGCTTCAGTCTAAAAAATTAGTCTTTGTTTAATTGCTGGTGTTAATTTTTTTATGTTCAGTAAATGAACCAAGTTTTTGTTCTCAGAAAAGCATTGACTTTTTACTTTAAACTTCACAAAATTAACGGATTTCTTAAGCTATTACCAAAGTAAACAAAGATATTTTAGTTAGTAGAATATTTGTAAAACTTAGATTGTAAATTACAATGTAAATGTTTCGATAAGTGGCAAAGTTCTTAGTAATTATATTTTTTGTAAACAAATTGAAAGCAATTTTCGAAAGAAAATAATAGAGAGGAAAACATTTTTGTATTATTGTCCGAGTCTGATCACATGTCTTATAAACACAAAGTTATCAAGAGTATTAGAGGAGTTTAGGAGTTGGATGTTGTTTATCACCTGTGAGATGAAAAACGGACCGGAAAATACTAGATGGGTCGGAGGGATAAATGAAATTTAATATGAAATGAAGGAAAAACTATGTTCCTTTTTCCTTTACCCGATCAGAGTTGAAAACAAATGTGGAGTCTTCCAAAATAAATTTATAAACAACAAAATACATCTTGAAAAAAAAAAGAAGATTGTCAAGTATGTTATAAGTGGATGACCGTAACGATAAGGTTGGTGGAGTTCCAAGTTATGTAAGTAAAAAGCAAAGGGAAGCTGTAAGGAGTTACCAATTTTTTTTCCGAAACTGAAATCTAAAAAGCGAAATAGAGAATTGTAATAAGGACGATGCACATTTGACAGGTTGCAACAATGAATATTGAATAGGATTACTACTGATGAATATTTTCTCTTTTTTTTATTTTGACTTAGTTTTAGTTTCGCTATTCATTTTAAATAATTGTCAATATTATGTTTGGATGTCGCTTTAAAATTTATAACACGCAGCCAAGCAAATGCTAATAATAATACTTCTTACTCCCCACTTTTTTCTTCTTTTTTTTTTCTGTACAAGGTAAAAGAATTAGAGAACTCTCCCTATACGGGACCCTAGTGCACTCGTTAAATTCTACCTTTGTTATTTGCAAATGGTTATTTTTTTTCTTTATTTTTATGATAGTGTGTACGATTTTTTTATTTCTTATTCATAATGATATGTGGTATTATTAATAATAAATTCTAAATTTACTAGATAAAAAATAAGAAAAAAAAAACACAGACTAAGAAAAAATAATCCGTTCTTCTTTCTCGACCTTCTGAAGAAAAAATACAAACATACGAGATGTGTATTTATTTATTGATGATGAACGTTTACACTAACCACAGTGACAACATAGATGAACAACATAAACGCATAAAAATAATTAAACATTATGATTTTAACAACAAGACTCTATTATTCAATTTAAGGACATTTATATCTGAATAGAAAAAAAATAAAATTAGGAAAAAGGAGGCAACCCGTCAGATTAAGTTGAAAAATAAGCTTTTACTTTTTTAGGAGGAAGCAGGCATTGGGAAGACAGTTTTACACCGAGAAACCTCGATTTGATGTTTATTTTCTTTGCTTTTATTAACATTTATACTTTCACTTGTCGAGATAAGACGACCCACTATTCTTTTTCACAGATAATCCAACTAGCTAAGGATAGATCATTATTCTTTAAGCGCATGTTTTGAAACAACCAAAAGAGCGGTACATAGAGAGAGGTAGACAAGACGAAAATGAGGGACTGATAAAAACATGACGCTAATCGAAGGCATCAATCGGTTTGCTACTATTACGAAAACAAAATATTTTACAGAAGAAGATGTGGGGGGATCACCTCGAAGGTATCATACATGTTCAAGAGTATAATAAACAATAAAAAGGTACAAACCTGAACCTTCTTCTTTCCTTGACCGGCTGACGGTCGGTGGTGGGTGGCCATGATGTTTTGAGCTGCGAGTTTGACGTCATCAAAACACGTGTACCTGTTTAGTAAGATAGACTACATTCATGACGTCATCAAAACACGAGTACTTGTTTTGTTTAAATAAACGAGAAATCGTTCAGATGACTTTGTTTATTTTTAAGTTTAACTTCTCCAAATAATTTCGAGCACCAAATCATTTATATGATTGAAATCTATATTCCTTAAACCTATAATACCTAAAGATCAAGTAAATTTAGATTTTATTCTGGATTCAATTTAAAAAAAAAACATGTACACATTGTTAAAAACATTTTAATTTTATTTTAAAATCAGAAAATTACATTTTTAATTTTTTTGAAAATAAATATTTAAAAACAAAAGAGTATATTTTAAAATTAAGAATTATTTTCAATTAAAAAATATCCAGCATTTTTATAAAATTTTGAACTTTTACTTATGTATCTCAAAATATTTTATTTTTCTCTTTAAAAGCAGATATTTTTTAAGGTAATTGATATTTTTTTTATGTCAATATTTTTCTTAATATTTAAAATAATGAAAGAAGCAGCAGTATGATTATACTCTCTGTATAAAATAAATTAACTTTTTAACATTTTATTTTTGCACTGAATTTAAAATGTTTTATATTATGTGCTTCACTAGGGTTGCTAACTCCCTAAAATGAAGATGCAGGACGTGGAAAGTGGCTGGGTTTTCCCAACCATGAAACCCTCAGAGAGAGGCCCCCAAACAGTGGCCCATGGATCTACAAGTGAATTAAATCAGTTTGGTATTTTGAATGGTAACAGATTATCATTCAAGAATTTTATACAGCCAGTGCAAAATTGCAGTTAAATTAGAATTTTAGAGTGAAACAGAATTATATTTTAAGAAAAATAATATAAAAAGAAGATCATTTAACATTTTTCAGTAGTGCAAATATCTTTCATGTATCCTCACATTGCTATATAATCATTCAAGATCAATTATACAAATCCTTTGGAGTAAAAGATCAAACAAAATTGTCATATCATTACAGAAAAAAACAAATTTGTCTTAAAAAAAAAAATGAATGAACACATAATTTTTAAAAAGAATCATTGATTCTTAAAATGCAGGACAAAAAGATGTCCAGCTGTGGTGATTATAATTATATCCACAATATTACACCAGGATAGGTGAGATCTTTTGAAGAGAAAGAAACTCAATAACCTGTATATTTAAGTATATTCAATCCAAATAGAAATAGAGAAATAAGGGAAAGAAAGTATTTTTTTAAAGTTTTTTTTTATCCTTTCACCCCCAAGTAAATCAATAATGCCACTAAGATGCAAGGGATTACTGAGAGTGAAAGAAAATGAAAAAATGTTCATAAGGAGAAAGGACATTAAAAAAAAATAAGATTCAGCAAGACAAAAAAAATGGCAAATGACATTGCATTTGAATTTTTGAAGATTGTAAGTAACAAGGAAGCAAGAAACTGGAAGAGATTTGGACAGGCAAAAAGTGCAAGAAAAGAAACTATTAGAATAAATCTAACTCATGGTTACATCTAGCTATTTCAACAGTAATACGATGAGACCTAATTGCCAATCTAGTACTATGCTTAAATTCATGCAGTCGAGGTACCAAGAAAGAAAGCTCATTAGAACAATTGGCATGAAAATATTTGTAGGGAAACCACATTACGTTGGTGAGAAAGTGGCTGAAGTTATGATAAGTCATCATAACATTATAGACCCTTCTTTTGATTTTATCAAGTATCTCTAGACATATAGCAAGAACAACAGACCAGATGTGGCAGCAATATTCAATGCACAGATGAATGGTAGATTTATAAGCATGCAAGCAACAGATCTATATAATATATTCTAACAAAAGTGTTTGGTTGCAAAGAAATGGAACAAACAAGGATTAAGTTTTCAACAACATGCATTCATCAAATGTGCATAATATATATATATATATATATATATATATATATATATATATATATATATATATATATATATATATATAGTTCTTTGAAACTCAGTATCTATGCTAATGATGTTATTAAGACAAGAATAAATGGTTGTAAGACAGAGTAGTTCAATAAGGTCAAATTGGCAGCTGATCTCAAAAATGACCTATATTGTTAAATAAGACAAAGAATTACTTGTTAATTTTAATGACTCCAAAATAAAACTACTATCTATTAATCGTTTGAGAGAACCTTTTCTGCCATCCATCAGCATAGTTGGTGCTAGTCTCCAGGAGAGTGCCACTTTGCACTTTCTCAGGCTAATGTTTTCCACTGACATGAAGTGGAAAGATTATATTAAATTGACTGCTAGGTCCGCTGCTACGAAGGTTGGTTCACTGTGTCATGCTAGACATTTTTTCTTGCCAGAATCTATTTTACACATTTATAAGTCTACCATTCATCCATGTTTAGAATATTGCTGCCATATGTGTTCTGATGCTCCTGCTACATATTTAGAAATTTTTGATAAAACCCAAAGAATTTGAAATGTTATTGGTCCTGACCTGGCATCCCGGCTTCAGTCACTTTCCCACTGCCATAATGTAGCTTCCCTGTGCTTTTTCTATAAATACTTTCATGGTAAATGTTCCGATGAACTCTCCTCTATGGTACCTAGACTCTATGAATTTAAAATCATTACTAGATTGGAAGCATGATCTTATATTACAGTCAAAATGGCTAGATGTAACTGTAAGTTTCTTTTCACACACTTCTCAATTGTGGAACTCTCTTTCAGGTTCTTGCTTTCCAATCAAGCTTGATCTTCAAAAATATAAATGCAATGTCAATCATTATCCTCTGTCCTCTTAAAGTCTGTTCTTTTATTGTTTTAACTCCTTAATAATATTCTTTCACACTCAGTAACTCCCTGTGTGTTAGTGGCTCTGTTTACTTGTTTGGGGTGAAATGATTAAAAGAATAAAAAATTCAGCATCCTCATTTTATTCTATGCTTGATTAATCTTGTTTTTCTGACTGATTATTCTAAATTCCAATGCTGAATCAGTTAATGCAGGACCTATCCTTCAGAGCACTTTCACATTTGACAGAATGGTTGGCAATACAAATTCGAAAAAGTCAATAATTTTATTAATTTTTAATGCCTTGAGATTGCTCAGCTTAAAAGGAGTAGAATTGGAAGTTGACTATACACAGAAGTCATTTATAAGATACAAATTCAGATTTATACCTGAGATAGGAATGGTAAAGTTATTGAAGCAATTGCCACAACTAATAGAAGACATTTTGCATTTTTTTTTTAATCATTTCAGTTTTGAAAACATTTTGCACATCCAGTGTCTTCTGGTGTTCTTTTTTTAAGTTTTAATGCTATGTTAATTGAAATTATAATAAGATATAAATTGATATACAAACGTAAGAAGAAAATTATTTGTATAAAAATAGACCAATTAACTGTAAATGAGATGATCACAATGATAAAAACAGTCGAGTGGATACTTTTCAGCTATCAGCCTTATTCATCTTACCATGTTCAATCACTCAAACCACCACATCACGTTTTATTCTTCATCTCCTTAAATAAAGCCATTATTCCAATTATCATGCTAATGTCATTTTTTTACATGTATTCAATTAATAATTGCCATTAATCTACTAAAATTTGTCAATTTACTTGAATTAAACCATATTTTAGGATCAGAAATAGATTTTTCATAATTAGTCAACTACATTGATCAATGAACTATAAGTTTACATGTTCACCTTACCATGAAGTACTGATTAGCAAACCAGTGTTTCAGACTATTACTTCTGAACTGATTCATGAATTGAATTGTCACAAGGTATTCTACACTAGTGATTGCAGATCAGACAAATGTTATGCTCAATAAATCACATGCACACTATGTGTGTGTGTATATATATATATATATATATATATATATATATATATATTATATATATTATATATATATATAATTATTAGTGTGGAAATAGTAATTAACACTGCATAGTGTCCGTCACTTTCATATTGGTCTGAAGATGGCATAGAAGTGTGAAACTGACAATCACTATGCAGTGTTGATTTCTATGTCAACACACTATATCTATAAACAATCTGGAAGGGGTCTAGAACCTTATTCAACAACCTTCCTAAAGATGGTGTCTCAATAAAAGCACCCTGCCTACTTTGCTGTGAACAAGTTAATAGGAATAGATAGGTTCACCTATCACTCAGCCAGTCCTCCTTCCATGTTTATTGAACAGGAGTAGGGGTTAATCCTGGTTTCTTGTTTAGGATATGGCTTACCAGTTCTTTTTCTCCATGCTCATAATGATTTAACTATCTTAATATTTTGGTGATCTGACTGATCAGTGGCTGCAACTTTTCATTATGAGGGTACTGGGTTAGCAGTTTTCTGGTTGCTGCTTCTGACTGGTAGTAAGGAGCCTGAACTCTTTGTTAACATTTAAAGAGGCTGCTCTGATCAACAGTTGCACAAGGTATTTGTAGTGCTATGTTGCACATAGATTGGTGTCTCTCTATGTATTTCTGGTGGGCAACCCCGAGGCTACATTATACTTCTGGCCAGTTTTATTGCCATAGATGATAGTGATAATTATTTTGACCTTTTTCTTCTTAAAACAAAATTTTCTTATGACAGATACAATGAAAAGATATATTTGTAAACCAGTAAAGCAAAAAATCACCTACCCCCTTCAACATTTCTTTCTCCAACATTCGTGGCATTCATTCTAATTTCTGCGGTGTTGAATCTTTTCTTTTGAAACAGTCTCCAGATATCTTTGCCCTTTGTGAAACTAATTTAAATTCTTCTATTGCTACCAATGAATTCTCTGTTCCAGGCTATCTTCCGATTTGCTGAAAAGATTCTAGAATACATATGTATGACTTCAGTGTTTATATTTGTGAAAATCTCCCAATTGCAAGGGAATTGTCTCTTAAGTACTCAGATGATTCTTTCATGTGCTTTTGACTTTCATGATTGCATTCTGTTAACCATCTCTTT